CTCGGAGGGGTCCGAAGGGGGGCCGGGTCCACGGGGGGATTCAGAGGGGGACCCTCGTCAGAAAGCAGTCCCGTTATGCTATGCGACGTAGCCAAAAAGCATCGCCATCGCTAACCCTCCTCCGGCCGATCGCCGCCGCCCGGTTCCCCGAAAGTTTACTTGTTATTCTTATCACTCTCAGGCCTCTCAGGTATAAAAGTCGCACAGAAATAGCATTTTATTTTTCAATTTTCTTTTACGCTATGCGGAGAGGCACCCCATACGGATGAAATATTTCAAGGCACTCTATAATAACTTAGTTTCGGGAGAGCTGACAAACAGAATCTATATGGGCAAGATATTATGGAATTATCCCACCAGGAAAATAAATAAATGTATCCAATCGGACGGGGGGGGGCATTGATCATAGCAACCCAAACACCACAATTTTACGATCTCGCGGGTGTTGTCTCTCTTTCTCAGCAGCCGAAACAACTGACTCATAGCGGGTCGTTGGTGGTCATGCACGACCCTGATCAGCAGTGGCGCGGCCCGCCAGGTCCTCACGGAGTGCGTGACCAAGGCGAGGCGGGGCGGGGCGACCATCTGAGAAGCTGATCATCTACCGAGGGGAAGATGGCAGCACTGAGGAGCTTGAGGAGCTGGCCGCACGACTGGGAGAAGAAGCAGGAGGAGAAGAAGCGCGCCCAACAGGAGGAGGCTGCCCCCCCTCCCTCCCCCTTCACCTGGGCGCGCCCACCGCGCTCGGAACTGGGTCGGTCGCGGGCTCACGAGCTGCTCCACGAGCTGCTGTTGACTGGGGCGGGGTGCGCGCCCAAGCAATGGAGCCTCTCGCGGAACGCGGATACGGAAGTGGGGAGGAGGCTGGGCGGCCGGATGCTCTGGTCGGATCTCCTTCTTAGTGGCACGCGTGGCACGGGTGGTGCGTCAAAGGGACTTCCCTCCGGCACAGCCCCGTTATCGTGTGTGTGTGTGTGTGTGTGTGTGTGTGTGTGTGTGTGTGCGTGCGCGAGTTTGGAAAAAGGGGTAATGGTAACCAGTAGTGTGAGTCAAAACATTTGAAGTTATAGAACGCCGTGATGATAGTCATCCCAAGAAAATGTGGGTACAGGGTGGTCCACAGACCCCTTCCTTTCCTTTGCTTATACTGTACCCCATGAAGGCGTGCTGGCGGGCTTGCCTACCCTAGCTCGCCGTTGCGCCTTAGGGCCCCGTGCGAGTATGCAACCCGGCCGCACGCCTGCATCCGGTACAGTATACGCCACATAAAGGAAGGAGTCTGTGGACCTCCCTACATTCGCTTTATTCAGGACATCATCGTGTAGCATGCACGCATCCGTGCAAGCGGTACAGTATAACAAGGAAAGTGCATGGCGTGAATCAGCAACCTGGTTTATACTGTTACACGAATTTTCCTCAAATGACGTTTGTTTTTGTCTTTGTTAAATAAAATAATAAAAGACAGATCTCTCTTGACTTGGTTTTCAAAGTGGACTCGGCTTTGATGCTGTCCCACCCTCGGTCATTGCTCGACTGTCAGGCGTGAGGGGCGGCGGCTTGAGAAAAGGCGGCGGCCTCTAGCGCCGGGTGGGTAGGCAACCCATTGGACCCTGCGTCTGTGAGCACAGGCTAGTCGTTTGAATTCCCCCGCGTTCGTAAACCGGTGCAGCATTCCTTTTTCTTTCATTCGCCGAACTGGGTCGCGAGTGATCTCCCGTGTGCCCCACGCGGCGTGGTTCAAAACATTGTTGTTTATGCTCCACCAACCCCTTGTCCGTGCCGCACACGCCCGAGTCTCGCCTTAAACCTCCACAACGTGTAGATCCCACCACTTGCCCAGTTTTCGCGTAGAAAGCCCGCAACCCGACCCGTGCCTGGAAACTAAACGCCTCAGCTGTCTTTCACGTCGTTGTCGTAAAAACAGCGATGGACGCGTCCGACGAAGGTATGTGCTCACTGTGTCTTTGTTGCACGTGTGATGGTGTTTTTTGTTTGGACGGGAGCACTGGGCGACTCCGCCCGGTGGGACAACTCGTTTGTTCATCTGCCCCGACCATCTCGCGACGTGGAGAGCTGCTAGACCACCTGTTCCACACCCTGAAGGGGTCTTAAAGGCCGCCGTGGTTAGGTTAGGAGTCCCATAGCTTCTGTACCGGAGTGGGCTGTGTGCCGGGTGGTCGGTCAGGTGTTAGGGCTCTTATTTCTACCCGAGTACCCGGGTAACCCGGGTGGGTACCCGCCCGGGTAGGAACCGGGTCAACGGGTTTTCCCGGGTACCCGGGGGACCCGGGTAAACCCGGCGGAACCGCGCCTGTTAGTAGGCAACTTGTCATGCCTGTATGCCAATTTGCCTATACTTGCAGGCGCGGTTCCGCCGGGTTTACCCGGGTACCCCGGGTACCCGGGAAAACCCGTCGACCCGGTTCCTACCCGGGTTACCCGGGTACCCGCGGGTCGGGTTTTTAAGAGCCCTATCAGGTGTTGTCAAACAGTCAGGCGATGTGAGGCTGTCTTGTCAAACACAGGTCATTATCACTTTATAGTGAGTGAACCACCCTGTCTTCTGCTTTCCAGTAGAGTCCTCAAACATATTAATGTGTTAATTGTGACTTTGGGTTTTTGTTGCAGGCGTGCCTGATCTCTGTCCGAACAAAATGGACACTTGTGACAGTGAAGATGATGACAACTCCGATACTTGGGACGAGACGGACACTCCTAACTGCCAACTGACCAAATGCCTCTTTTGCTCCAAAGTTTTCACAATTGTTGAAGAAGCACTGGAACATGCCACCAAAGACCACAATTTAGATCTCCCCACTCTGAAAAGACGATTTGATATGGACTGTTATTCATTTATAAAAATGATCAATTACCTGAGGTTACATTCTATGAGTGCCAGTGACTTAATGTCAACTAAGCAATCAGTTTGGGATGATGACAAGTATATGAAACCCACCCTGGAGGATGACCCATGGCTTATGTATGGTAAGGCTATCAATTCAGTCATCATTTTTTTAATTTTTTTTTGTAAATTCTTGTTTACTTGAATGATCTTAAAGTGTGTTCTTGCCTCAGATTTTGATGATGTTGAAACTCCACATTCCTCAATGATACCTGGGGATGGAAGTGGAGGATTTCTGGCAAATGCAGAAAACGGCATTGTCACCTTGTCTGAACATCATTTTGCTGAGCTTCAGAAAAAAATACAGGCATTGTCTGTTGAGGTATGAAAAATTGATTTCATACTTCACCCTCTCATGTCAATTAGCCCCCTCATTTAGTATGTTGAATTATATTCTTGTTATTTTTCTGTAACTTTTAAGGTTCGTGTGAAGAACTCTCTTCTTGAAGCAGCTGCTGATGATATGAAGCGAATGCGAGCTGTTACGCAAGAGCTTGTTGAAGGGCCCAATTCTCAGTCAGCTGGTGATAAGCAGGTTGACAGGAAAGTGGCCTGTCTGTCCATCACTGAAGATCAAAGCTATTTTGACTCATATGCTCATTTTGGGATACACCTTGAAATGTTGTCTGTGAGTCCACTTTCATTCACCCTGGTCATCTATTATTACCATGCAATTCTTTTATGTTGTTTCCATTAATCTCACAGGATGTTGTGAGAACTTCCAGCTACCGTGATGCTTTGCTTAAAAATTCCGCTGTGATAAATGGCAAAGTAGTTTTGGATTTAGGTTGTGGGTCCAGTATATTATCAATGTTTGCTGCTCAAGCAGGTGCTAAAAAAGTCATAGGGATTGATCAATCAGATATCATTTATAATGCCATGGATATTTTGAGGTGAGTAGTTTTTATTTTCAGCCTTTTCTGCTTTTGCTGAAAATTCTGATTTACGGTATTATATTTTATTAATTTTTGCATTTTCAGAGAAAATGGTCTTGAATCTCAAGTAACACTTGTAAAGGGAAGGCTTGAAGACACGGTCATCCCTGAAGAGAAAGTTGACCTTATAGTATCTGAATGGATGGGATATTTTCTCCTGTTTGAGGGGATGCTGGACAGTGTAATTTATGCCAGGGATAGACATTTAGCAGAAGGTGGTTTACTTTTGCCAAACCGATGTACCATGCATCTTGTAGGAATTGATGATCCAGGTAATATTTGCTTATTATGACAGTTATTTTTTTCATTCATACTTATTTATATTATTTTTTCTCAATTATTTTAATGTGTTTACAGGCCGCCACAAGGAAGTTGTGGGGTTCTGGGATAATGTGTACGGATTCCGAATGAGTACACTTGCAGGAGAAGTTCTGAAAGAACCATTTGTCGAGGTTGTGCCAAGCAGTGCTGTAGCAACTTCATCTCATACTTTAGTTGAGCTGGATCTCATGACATGTTCTACAAAAGATTACTCATACATTTCAAGTCCATTTAAGCTGGAGGCCTCTCGGGACACTGCCATTACTGCTCTCGCTGGTTACTTTGATACATTCTTTGATTTGCCAGTTGAAAAGGTATCGTTTACCACTGGACCACTAGGAGAACCGACTCACTGGAAACAGACAGTGTTTTACCTTAAAAATCCTATCTTAGTCAAAAAAGGTAAGCTTTTTGTTGTTATGCGTTAATTTCTTTTCACAAAAGAGATTGAGTTATTTTTCTATATTTGATTCTTTTGTTTCTTTTCTTTTGTAGGGGATATTATAGAGGGGCACCTTTTATGTCAACGTCACAAAAAAGAGATAAGATCGTTGGAAGTATGCATTACTTTGCCTGGAATGAAGCAGAATTATTGTATGTCTAGCTGCTCTGTATCAGATACATAATTGAAAGGATTTAATATTATTACTGGTTTGAAAACAAATACAACTGAACGTTCTTATTGGGCTAGTTTGAATGACATATTGCATGTAATTGTTGCCGGAAAGTCTTTTGACAAGCACAGGGTATCAAATTTGTATGGTGGCGTACCTTTTAGTCTTTACAATCTGATTAACTAAGATGGCAGTGTGTTTTGAGTACTTTAAGGTTACGAGATTTTAATGTTATTACAGCTTTTATCATGAAATTATTATTATTATTGGATACATGATTTGAGCTGCTGGTTTAGTGTCCTGTAAATGTTTCAATAAATATTGCTAGAAATCCGCTCAGTTTTCAGTTAATGATTCCAGAGGGATCCCGAGAGCTGTAACTTTAAATTTAAACTCTCAAGTTTCAGAGAAAACTGAAGATAATTTTTTTTTCTCTATTTTAATTTTTATTTCAACACGTGTACGAATTTAATGCCTCATAAATTTTTCATATCACAACACACTCAACATGAGAAATCCAAGTGCCACCTCAGCCACTGCTGTCATGTAAAGTGTTGAATTGTTTACAAACTCTTTTGCTTTCTTTGATTTTGTTTTCTAACTGTTTATTACTTTTACAATTTTTTATAAAACAGCCAACATTATTTGATTAAATTGAAAAACTTCACCAAGGGAATAACTGTGAGTGCCTTTGCGGCAAAACATAAATTAAATAATCATGATCAGTAGAGCAAAGGTCTTTGCCAATCTTTTTGCCTGCGCTCGAGCTACCAGTATTAAGCAAACGGTTGGATTCTGTTCTAGTGAAATTTCACATACTTTGTTTAACTAAGTTATGTTTGAGATTTTGATATAATTTTTGTTACCCCAGGTAATACCTCTCACCTTCTTCAGGACTCGGGCGACACTTGCCTTAAAATTAATTAAGCCGATTGCTCTGTGCTCTGGTTCATTTGTGGTCCTTGCAGCAACTTCTCCATCCAAACAAACCCTATCTTCTAAAGATTTGAATCAGATAACAAAGAAAGCTGATGCTTTATTCAATGATAACAAGTTTGAAGATGTTTTAAAACTACTGCGACCCTTCAAAGAGGATAGAATAGAAGATATAATATGGAGAATAAGCCGAGCTGCATACACCTTATCCAAGAGTCAGACCATTAGCAAAGAGGAGCACGCTACACTTGTCGAAGAATCATATGCAATGGCTAAACTTACTATCGAACTTAATGAAAATAGTGCTCTGGGTCATAAATGGATGTCTATTGCATTAGATGCGTACAGTAATCTGCAAGGATTTCGTGAGCGATGCGCAACCCTCACCACTGTACTTAATCACATGCTGGTACCTATTTCTTTTTTTCCAGTATTTTTTCTAGGCACACTACAAGATGTTTTTAAAATTGCCATTTTTTTTTTCTGCTCTCAGAAATCCATTGAACTTGATCCTACTGATGCAACAGTTATTTATATGGTGGGCATGTGGTCAGTATGTAAAATGTGCATTTGTTACTTTTGGTTGCCACAACCACAATGCTTCTTTCACACATTTTTAATGTTTCTATACAAGGTATTATTCAATTACTGATTTGGCATGGTATCAAAGAAGTGTCCTTCAAGCGATTGCTGGAAAACTCCCAGCAGTTTCATACGAAGAGGCACTTACTTATTTCAAGAGAGCTGAAGAAATATCACCGAATTTCTACAGGTACATTAGATATTTGATATTGATACATGCACATAATATCAGTGTCGCAGCCAAGTATTATCTATAATTTTTCCTTTGTTCTTGATTTTAGTCTGAATCTGCTGATGCTTGGGAAGTGTTACCACAAACTTGGGGATCTTGATTCAGCCATTGCTTACTTACGAAGAGCCATAAATTATCCCAAGTTCACTGATGATGATCATAAGGTTTGTTTTTTTGATTTATTTATTTTAATTATCTTTGTAATGAATGACAAGGCTATCACAGTCTGGCGCCAAGCTTGGCATGGCAACTTTGACAAGCCAATCGGAGTCTCAGGGCAACGGCCCCACCTCTGGGGATGCGTCTCCTCTCACAAGACTCAATCCAATCTGTTTCAAGATTTTATGAGAGTGGTGTTAACAGGTTGTTAACATCACACTTTATCTTTTGCAGGCCCATCAAGAAGCCTCTGAGCTGCTGAAGAAACTTAAAGCATGAAAGAACAAGAGAGCCAGTGCACATCATTCCAAGAATCTAAAAGATTTATTTTTCGTCTTAAAAATTCTATTCTAAAATCAAACTTAATTTTGTGATTACAATCTTCTCTTGAAGATTTATTGTTCTATGTATTAAATATTAGTATAAGTGTTTTATATTCTTTTCTTAAACCGTTGAAGTATTTATTTTTCATTATTGTACTTTTTAAAAATTACAAACACTGCAATAAATATTTTTGCCTTACCGACGGAAATTTGAAATAAGTTTTCCTTCGCGGGGTTTGTGCCAGTCAGGCTCACCACTTGCGGATTCCAAAAAAACAAAAAAACATTTATAAAAAATGGTATGACATTTATTAAGAAGTAATATGTTAATTAATATCACATCCCTGCAAAAAAAACATAGTCTTCCCTCTTTATAGCAACCCTTTTAATTTTCTATCACCCCTACATACAAACGCTTCCTCCCCCTCCCCCCTTGTCCTTGTCCTTGTCCTCACTTCCTCCCCTTTCCCACCCTCTGTCAAGAAGACGACATAAACAACGATCCGGAAAGAGAGAACATCTCCATGTTTGTTGTTTACAATTAGATTAAGAAATGAATAGTTATCCATTGCTTATTTCTAAGCAACGTTCTACCCCTTAAGTTGTGCGTCGGACGTCCCGGCTTCGTTTTCTCGTTTAGGTTATAACTGCATGCTGAGCTAGGTTAGTATTTCCGTTTGAATGTTGTTTCAATAAAAAGTGAACATTGGTTTAGTCCACTTCTCATCTTGTTCGGACAAAAACTGGTATTTATCTCGACCCTGTTCTTTTTGAGATGACGAAATCTTTGGATGGGCCAGTTAAACATTTTTTTGTGTGGTGAATTTTGTTTATTCAAAGTCTCCATGTTAATAACTTAATATTCTTATCCTTTCCAGGCTCTTTCTCGTCAGGCAAATGAGTTTTGTTTATTGAAGGAAGCCTTTCTCTTGCAATGATGACTCATAAAACTAGTGGTAGTAGTGGTAAAAAGAAAGTTCAGGTAATTTTCTTATGTGTTTTTTGTTGCCTTAATTTATTTCAGGTTCATGTAATTTTTATGCTGATACATTTTGCCAGGTGTCTTATGTGATAAGAGAGGAAACTGAGCCCAGACATCGTTCAGGTGTTAATTCATTGCAATACTCACCTACATTGCAAAGACTTTACTCGGCAGGCCGCGATGGTATCATACGGGTTTGGACACCAAGCAATACCAAAGAGCCCCTTGTTCTAACTATGGAGCATCATACAGACTGGGTCAATGACATAGTTTTGTGCTGTTCTGGGAGAAATTGTAAGTTATCCTGATTTATGTGCATTGATAGGTATACCATGCTTAGCTGTGCTTTGATATTTTCGTTATTCCCCAGTGATATCTGCTAGCTCAGACACTACAGTGAAGGTCTGGAATGCCCATAAAGGATTTTGCATGTCAACTCTTCGAACACACAAAGATTATGTCAAAGCTCTGGCTTATGCCAAAGACAGAGAACAAGTCGCGTCTGCAGGCTTGGACCGTGCAATTTTCTTGTGGGATATAAATACACTTACAGCTTTGACTGCCAGTAACAATGTTGTAACAAGTAAGAAAATCTGGCCTTTATGCCTTGTAACTGATGAAATTTTGTACTAATATCTTTATACTTATAGCGTCTTCGGTAAGTGGAAACAAGGACTCCATTTACAGCTTAGCAATGAACCCTTCTGGTACTGTTATTGTCAGTGGCTCGACTGAAAAAGTTCTGAGAGTATGGGATCCACGCACCTGTAGTAAATTGATGAAACTCAAAGGTAATAATCCTCTCTGAAGAACTGAGGCAATCTTGCTCTGAACCTCTTTAGTAACATCTTCCTCTATAGGTCACAAGGACAATGTCAAAGCACTTGCTGTGAATAGAGATGGTACCCAATGCCTTTCTGGAAGTTCAGATGGCACAATGAAACTTTGGTCTCTTGGTCAACAACGATGCATGCAGACGTTCCATATCCATGATGAGGGAGTGTGGGCTCTTTTGGTAAGGAATCTTTCTTCACTCTATTTGCATCATGATGTGGCACCCGGCTGGAGGAGTTTTCTGTATTCACATCTGTTCGTAGGTCAATGATGCCTTTACCCATGTTTTGTCTGGTGGAAGAGACCGCAAGATTTTTATGACTGACTTGCGCAACCCAGATAGAAGAGTATTAGTATGTGAAGAAACAGAGCCTATACTTAAAATGATATCAACTCCTGACCAAACTGGAATTTGGGTTGCAACATCTGCCTCATCTATTAAACAATGGGTAATCACAGATTTGAAAGTACTACAACTTGAATGCAGCTTTGTAACATTTTATTTTTGATGATTACTTTATTTTTATCTTTCTGGTGTCTTTAGAGCCTACCTAAATTGCCCACCTTGTCAGAGAACAGCCATCCTGCTGATTATGACGAAGCCCCAAAGCCATTTAATTCCAAACCAGATGTGACTATCAAAGGTGGCGCTGCAATCCGTCAATTTAATATTCTGAATGACAAGAGACATATTGTGACCAAGGACACTGAGAATAATGTGGCTGTTTATGATGTTCTCAAGGTGAGGTCTGATTCTGATTATGCTTTGAACACTTAGCTGTTTCAGCATGTGAATGCCCTTAATTCCTAGTTGTAATTTATTTTATATCAATCAATAACTATTCCAGGCCACAAAAGTAGAAGATTTAGGCCCGGTGGATTACGAGGAAGAAATTAAGAAGAGGCACAAAATGACTTATGTTCCAAATTGGTTCAACATAGACTTGAAAACAGGGGTATAATGAACAAAATAAATATGATTCACTTATCTGTGAGGAAGAAATGGGAATGATCCATATTTTATTTTATTTCAGATGCTAACCATTCATTTGGGTCAAGATGAGAATGACTGCTTCTCTGCTTGGGTTTCAACCAAAGAAGCTGGTCTTTCACCCAGTGAAGCTGCCGATCAAAAAGGTCAGTCCCCTTGCATCAGTTGCATTTGCTTTCTTGAACCCTTGTGTGCCAGCTTACCTAAATCAAAACCTTGTTTTCTTTAATATTTTTAGTAAATTATGGCAATTTAGTCCTCCAAGCTTTATTGGAGCATTGGTGGCGACCGTTAGCAAATGATGAGGAAGGTGATGGACAAGGGGATCCACCAAACTCCGTCAGTAACACTCACACCAGGGGAGGCAATGAGTACTTCTCTGTTTCTGGACACACCCCAGTTATTTTAAGGTTTGTTTAAAATTCTTTGACAAGTTCTTTTTAGGAAAGGTGTACTTATCTCATTACCTTTGTTCAATTTTAGCGAGGTTGGTGGCAGAACTTTGTATCGACTTCTTGCCAGAGATGCAGGAGGAGAAACTGAGGGAGTTCTTTTAAATGAAACTGTCCCATCTTGGGTTGTGGATATTGTTATGGAGAAAACTCTACCAGTTTTCATTAAAATACCATTCTATCTTTTACCTCACGGCTCATCGGGTATGCGGACAAAAAAGTGAGTTCACATAGTTTGACTTGTGGCACATATCAACATTTTAGCTGCAGAGCGGTCGTTATTAATACATACTCTTCGTTTTCAGAGATAGGCTGATTGCCAATGATTTCATCCAGGTCCGCAAAGTTGCTGAACATGTACTTGAGAAGGTTTTAGGTGCAGGATCAGAAAGTGGCTCTGTGGCAGCAGGCCCTGCCAATGCAGACAAGGAGGCAGACGATGCTCAAGACTCAAACTCGCTACCAGAAGAAAAGGTTGAACTTCTTTGCAATGATGTGGTGAGTTCAATGTTCTGGCAATTCCCAACCTCATTACGAGATCCCAATGTTAGCTGTGGAATTGACCAAATTAATGTATTGTTCCAGATGCTAGAACCAAATATGGATTTAAGGACAGTCCGTCATTTTATCTGGAAGTCATCCTCTGATCTAGTGCTTCACTATCGGCCCGTTAAATGATCAGGGCTTGCCTCGGACCCAGTCCCTGCCAGCAACCCCTCCTCTCTCACCCCCGCCACCCCTAAGGCAGTGCTGCGAGTCGCGAGGAGCTCACCTTACAAGTGTTCGTCTGTGTGAAGTGAAAGCCTTCAGTGTACCTGATAGTTATAGTTAAATGTATTTTTAAGATAGGTCTCAGCAATACCATGTAAGTGTAATTTTAATCTGATTGTTTTCGCCCCCACTTAAGCATGATTTGATGAACAGTTACATTAGATAATTGTCTAAGGTGATCATGTGTATTCCAGACTTCATCCCTTGCAAGTGTTTTAGTTGCTGCATTTTTATTTTTATTTTGTAGTGTAGAGCTAAAAGTTGCTCTGTTACACAAATAATTTTCTGACCAAAAGTTGAAGTAAATTAGGTAGTACTAATCTACTGTTCTATTTTGATCAAAAGAGTTCCATGGTACTGTTTTTAAAAATCAATTTAGATGCATATGTTGTTGTAGCTTCTGTTAAATTTAGTTCTAGAAATCACTGTAAGAGATGAACCTGTTTTTTTTTTTCAAAGGAAGTCTCCTTTTAAAGTACTGTGAATCATTTTTGTTTTGAGCTGACTTAATACATGTTTTCATCTATTGTATGAACCATTGTGCAGAGATGTCACAGTGCCAATGGTGGGGTGGTTGAGCATTAGTCTTAAGTAAGCATATCACGTCATTAATCCATTTGCTGTTATTTGTTCCAAACAAAATCCATTTTTCACGTTTTAGGGGTATTCAATGCTATAATCATGAAGGGGATTGATGAGATGAAGCCATGTCACAATTGTGCCTAAACAGAGACCGTTTTCCTTATCAAAATATGTTATGTGATATTTCAATTTGTGATTATGACATGATGTTTGTCAAATTAATGTTAGTGGTCAAATTTGATTTACCTGTGTTGACTTATTTCTTTCAGTTGGAATTGAGAGCTGTACTTACCAGATTGTGTCACTAGAACAACCACTCATTTCATGATTATCAAATAATGATTTCTTGCTTATGAGTGGGTCACTGAATGAAATTTTGAAGAGGCTTATATTGTGCTGCAATTGGGATCAAATTCTGTTTTAATCCATGTTATACTGATATCTTTATGACGCCAACACAAGCAATTAAAAAGTCTCGATTGCCTACTGTATTTACATATTAACTCTTTGTCTCCTGCCCACACACTGAAACTGAACCTTTCTTTTATTCACTCTACCCTGGTGGGCTCGTTGAGAATACGCTTGAAGGTGAAGGGTTCAAAAGGATATCCGCTTCCCATGTAGAACTTGCTCATAAACTCCACCCTGGAAAATACAAAGTGAAGCGGTAAGTAACAAAACCAGCTAAACTGTTCATAGATGCAGGTAAATGTGTCGTCATTGCGAGGTTGTTCGGCTCAAGGCCGGTCGAAGTGTGACAGCCTCGTGACTGGCTTGTCAGCCCACCCACCAGTGCAGACGCAGGGTGTGGAGGAAAGCGGACAGTCCCTCCATGAGCACAAGCACGGCCACGGTGAAGCAGACCCACAGGGCGAACACCACGTAGATGACGAAACCTCCGGCAAAGTTGCCGCCGGTGAATGCCAACCTGGAGAATGACGGTGATTTTTGTTTGTTTCAAAGTACTTTTTTTTTTTTTTTTTTTACAAAATTTTTGTTGTTGTAAATTAGCAGTTTAGGTTTCGTGATAAATCTATCTGCTCAGGTAACATCGGTAGGGTAAGTTTATCACATGGTTCGTTCGTTCAATCAGTCATTCGGAGACACGTCCCGTAGTACTCCATCGAATAGAGGGGAGCGCGGACGTCCCTGTTTGTGGCCACGAATCCGCCCGCCAGAGTTAGCTTAATCCGACCCGACTATAGAAGATTCCCTTTTGAGCAATATATAATATCCGACGCCTACTCTGTAGCTACGCAGTTGTAGCTACAACCGACGTGGCCGCATGCAACTTCACCCGAACCCAAACCGTCGGTCCTCCTGAGATCGACTCCCGGCCGGGACGAATTTTTGGGGTGGGGGGAGGGAGGGGGCGGGGTGCTTCTTTTCCCCGTTCGGCAGGACCAAGCTCAGAACACTAGCAGGGAAGTGCGAGCTGTCTGTCGAGCGTGCTAAAGCGGGTTTGTTAGCAGAGCTCGGGGACGCCCGAAGATACACATGGCCAGCAGAGCGGAAAAAATGTTCCGCAGACGGGGTTCGAACTAGCGACCATCCTCGCGCTCTGCCAACGAACCTGCTCTGGCACGCTCGATCTGCCCTTCCCGGCAAGAGTGCTCAGCTCGGCCCTGCCTAACAGGAGAAAAGAAGTGACAAAAAAAAACACACACAAAAAAAAGTTCCGTTCAGGAACGGATCGTGAAAGCAGATGATACGAATTCAAGAATTATCCTAGTCTATAATATTTCAGTGGCAGATCATGGGACGCATTACTTGCAGAAGTATATAGATAATTTACAAATCTTTATTCACATTTAATTACGTATTTATCCATAAAAATATTTGGGTTGTATTCTGTGTCTTCTATACTTTGTAATGTTTTGAAGGGTCTAAGACAGAGTTAGTGTGAAGAGAAACGTAGAGACAGTTTGCGAGTGACACTTCTCAATAGAGACATGGTTTGAAAATAATGTTTCTGAATTCATTTATAAATGTTAGGTTAGGTCAGAGTTTGAATTACCGCGCCGCGCGCGTTCCTGAGCCGAGACGGTCCGAGCCGAGCTCCGAGCTACGTTTCGAGCCGAGCGACGAGCCGAGTCTGCCGGAGGGAGGGGAAAGGGGAGGGGGCCCTGCGTCGCTATCGGCTTTGCGGCACGTTCGGACGGACGGGCGGGACCGGTCCGCATCACGCGCCCCTACACACTACTGGATGACGTCATGCCTGGTGCCTCTCAGCGCTCCGCATGACAGTACAAGCAATGATACATAGTTAAGTAAAGTATTATTACTTTCAGTTGTGTATAATGTATCATCTGCTAAAAAAAGCTTGCCCCGGCCGGGAGTCGATCTCATTGTCAGGGCCGACAGTTTCGGATCAGATGAACCTGCACGCGGTCGTCGGGTATCATTCATTGGCCGAAAAAGGATCTTCTATTGTAGTCGGGTCGGATGAAGCTGACGTGGAGCCCGGAGCGCCCGCGGAGCGTAGCGTAGGCCACCCGCCGGACGGGCGCGCGAGGCGTTGCCTACCCCGCCCTCGGCGGGCGCGCGGCGGGGGGCAGCAGGACAGCTCTCGAGGTCAAAAACACTCACCCTTTTCCACCCATGCTGCCGGCGATCTTGATGGCCCTACGGAACACCATGTTCCACAGGACGTCGGAGAGCTCTGCAACGGAGTTGATGAGCATTTTGCTTTCGTTATTGAAGTCTCTGGCGTGCATTGGCGCATAGGAATGATGAGGGACTCACGTGCGTGCGCCAGCGACAGGGCCCACAGCCGGAGGTAGGACGCGGTGTGCGACACGGTGGAGAGCACGTACTCGACGGTGTGGATGGCCTGGTGCACCATCACGTCGCTGAAGGTGTCGCCGCCGTGCTCGCCGCCGGCGTGCGCCTGGGCGTGGCCGCCCTGCTCGCCCGACCCGGTCATCTCGATGCCGTTGCCCGCCGCGCCGCCGTTGCTGGCCGACTGCGAAACAGAACAATAAGGAGGGGTGATAATGAGGGAGGCTGGCGTGGGCAGGGCAAGGGGTACTTCACTAAAAAGAAAAAGAGTCAGCGAACACTCTCTAAAATATCAGAAAAAACGGAGGAAATAAGGAAAAAATCAATGCAAAATCAGAAAAAAAAATACTAATCAAGGAGAACCGAGGACAATTATGAAAACACAACGTCGCGTTGCTCACCTTGAGGGCCTGGTGCGGGGTCGACTGCTTCCTGGTCGTCATCTTGATGTACATGGGCTTGGCCAGCAGCAGGATGGGCACCATCAGGACGGCGATGAGCAGGAAGGCCCGCTGGAGCGGCTCCTGGCCCGGGAACATGTACTGGTTGCAGTCCTTCACCTCGGCGTTGGCGCTCACCAGCACCATGTTGATGAAGCTGATGAGCACCGAGGGCGCGCATTTCGTGCCCCACGGCTTGAGCGACGGGTCGTCGGCTATCTCTGCGAAGAACGAGGAAGGCCAGGTTGAGGGGCCTTCGCTACGCGAAAGAAGGGAGTGGGGGGGGGGGGCGCTCACCTTTCTTGGAGTAGGGACCGAAAGCGAAATATTTGTACACCACCATGAAGACCATGTAGCCGAAGAGGAGGACGAGGAACAGGATCTGGGGGACGAAGTCCAGAAGGATATTGATCTTCTTCTTTAAGTGCCTGACGGGTGGGAGAAAAAAAAATGGATTGAAAAAACCGACCGGATGCGACGCGGATCAGGGAGGGACAGGGAAGGGGGGACACACTTACACGTAGTTGACTATGCTGAGGGCGATGCCGAACACCATGTGGACGACGGCGATGATGATCGACAGCTTCATCTTGAACGAGTTGAGGAAGATGATCTTGTTGTCGGCGGACTGGGGGAACAAAGGGATTAGGAGCGGCAGACGGAGAGACGCGAGTGTCTGAGTCAGTGGATCGCTCACCTGCCAGAGAGGGTCGATCCCCATGTAGTAGGGGTTCCCCCTGTAGCCGCCCTCGGCCGGGTCTAGCATCAGCTTGGCTTCGCTGTAGTTGCCCGTAAGGTTCGCGCTCGGGATGTTCATCGTCCACCCCGAGCCGAAGATGTTGAGCGAGAGGGAGAAGATGTCATTGTACAGGAGGCCGGAGTACATGGAGAAGATACCCATGAGCAGGATGATGTAGCGACCGCCGAAGAAAATGTCCCAGATCTGGGGAGAGAAGACGCTGTATAAGTTAAATTTTGACCGGAACGGAATTTCAATTTTCCAGAGAAGTATTTTTTTTGTAAATCTTTCGTTTTTTTTTTGTTTTTGTTTTCTACTTCTTTTCTAAACGGTTTAATTTTTTTTTCCAGCTTTCTTTTTTGGAAATATTCCAATTCCGATTTTTTCTGGAAAAGTAGTTTTCAATTTTTCCGTTAAAAGGCCGGACTTTAAAATCCCTACCTCCCCCCACTTGTTCTTCTTGAGCTTCTTCTCAAAGAGGCACATCCAGCCGGCGAATAGGAACACGATGATGCCGTGGCCCAGGTCGCCGAACATGACGGAGAAGAGGAACGGGAAGGTGATGGTGGTGAAGGCGGCCGGGTTCACCTCGCGGTACGAGCCCACCGCGTACGCATCGACCAGCACCTGGAAGCCCTCCGTGAATTTGTTGGTCCGGATGAAGGTGGGCGGGTTCTCCGTCGTGCTCAGGATGTTGATGATGGGGTTCATGGTGCTGCCGACGGCTTTCTGCATTGGGATCGACACGATTAGTCTGACGGCGCTGGCCGGCTCCAGCTCCAGGGTCAACCATCGCAGAGACTCACCCCTCCGTCCTCCAGGGCTCGGCGGAGGTTCTGGAGCTCGTCCTTGGGCACCCAGCACTCGCCGATCAGGCACTTGTTGGTCACGTCCATGTTGAACATGTTGAGCGTGTGGTAGATGGCCTTCATCTTCCTCACCATGACCTTCCACGTCATGAGCTCCTTAGCCACGGACACGGCCACGCGGTGGCGGTGGTCCATGGTCTGGGACAGCACCACGTTGAGGTCCTCCAGGCGGATGCGCAGCTCCCGCACCACGCCCTCCCGCTCCGAGACGGAGGACGGGCAGGTGTAGAGGGTGGCGTGGTACCCGGTGCACACCTTCTTCAGGCGCGACTTGAGGTTCTCGCCCTGGTAGAAGGCGACGAACACCGTCTTGTTGATGGGCTGGCCCTGTGAGCACGACCATGAAGGACGTCATGAGGTGGCCTGGGTCCTGCGGGGCCGTCACTGACGGCGGCGTCACTCACCGTGGCGGGGTCCTCCAGGGGCTCCTCCAGTGGCGCCTGGCGCAGGAACACGTTGCCGCGGGACACCCTCCACAGCATGCGCTCGAAGCCCGGCACACGGTCCCTCGGGATCACCCCGGCGACGAACCTGTCGGGCACCCGGAACGGGGAGCGGCGTGAGTCTGGCGGGCAGGGCGCGGCCGAGCCGGGGCGGGCGTGTGGGCGTGTGGGCATGTGCCCACGAGCCACCACGTTCCGCCCCACCCAGCGGTCCAGTCCCCCAGGAGTGGGGTGAGATGCAGTCAAAGAGGAGACTCTGCGTCGGTGCCCCCGTACCTGGAGCACGTCGTCAGCCTTGGAGACAGACAGACAGACAGACAGACAGACAGACAGACAGACAGACAGACAGACAGACAGACAGACGGACGGACGGACAGATGCCGTCGCAAATGCAAGGTCATTAAAAGCATGCCAAGTGCCAAGCCAAATCCAGAAGCACCCATATTCAAGCAAAAGGGATAAAGAAAAGTCCCTTGCTAAAATTTGTACAGCGAACCACACCATCCGGCCAAACTCCCGCGGGTTCTCAACCGACCCTGAAAGCGAAACAGTGAAAAAAATCCAAAAAACAGAATCAAACCCTCAGCTTTTTCACACAGTTCGCTCAGCAGCTCGAATGGGAAATCTTTAAATGGACAGGATTACGCTCCATGGACGGGATTAAAGTACCAATAAAATGTCTTAATAATTGTGTTTAATTTGCGGCTAATCTGAGCGGACTGTGTAAAGCAAAACAAAAAAATTGAAACCCTTCGCACGCCAAGAGACAGATATCCCCTGTACAAAAGCTGCTTTTTTTTTTCAAAAGGAATTCCCAGTTCCTTTTTTGGCAATATATCACAGCGGTCTATATACAAGATCCACGTGTTTGCAGCGGGGCTCTCTCTCAGGTCGTGGTGGTGCACACAGTGTGGCACACAGTGCTGCACATGACGTACCCCAGGCGACCGCGCTCATCGCCTCCAATGAGGGCGCGGTTAGAGTCGGACTCCTCTTGCTGAAACACAAATGTCGACGCAGCTGTGAACAGATCACATTCCTGGGGTGGCCGTAAGTCCGTCTGTCCCGCCCGCCCCGCTCCCCTCCCCCCC